GATGATTAGTAGGTGAAAAATATATTTATAATTATTTGCATACGTATGTATTTATACTTGACCGATTTAAATGCCCTTTTAATTCGTAGTAGGGTAATGGGAATTTTTTAGATTATTAATTAACCCCTCGAGCGTCACGGTTCATGATTAAAAGTCTATTCCCCGGTGGCACCAATTTTGCGAGGCACTACTAGAATAGTAAATCGAAGATCGAATTCACAGTGGAATAGAACGTGATATGTACTTACATACATAAACTGAATGTCGATTAATGCGATGAATCAATTTCAGATATAACACGGTATGCAAATGAAGATACATAATTCGGAAGTGTGATAAATATATATGATTACATACATGTGTACATTTACATTTACCCGATTTAAATACTTTTTTATTAACGTAAACGCGAATTTTTAATCTTTTACGTTTGATTTTTATTGGTGGTACTTTATAGTGGCTACCACTTGGTACCTCGTATCACCTGATTACTATTGGTATAATAGTATTTTATAGTGATCATTGGTATTGGTAATACTCCAAAGAAAGTGGCTTACGGATGAGAAATAAATGTGTGAATCTGTATATTCGTCTTTGATCGACTCGAATATTTTTTTGTATTATATATTAATATCCTGTTTAAATTTTATATGACGTATATAATTTATAGGTTAAGTGGAGGTCCTTATCGATTCGCGTTCGAATTTTATTGCTAGCGGATGCCGTTATTAATTTGGATACAAAGCATTCCGTTGAATTCCATTGAAGTCGCTGAATCTTTCAACGTATTTCGATAACCCATGAAAAAATGATGCCGAATAGTTCCTTTCTTCTATATCCCAGTGTTTCCGCCGCTATAATGTCGATAAAACTGACATTAGATCAATCACGCGGTATTCCCATAAATCATCCATAACAACCAACCCTAACTGTTTCTACCAATGACAGTGCAAACTCTGGCCATACTTCTACTTTCCCCGAATCCCTACACCATCGATATTTAATGGTACCATTATTTAGTAATCCTGGTCAAAGAGTTGTTTAATAATTTATTAATAATTTAATACCGTTGTAAGGATTATCAAAATATTATCATAATAACTCTTGTAAAAGGATTATTTAGTAATTTATCGATCACTCGATATCGTTACAAAAATTACTAGTGTTCTGTAATTTTTGAACAATTTCTTAAAAATCAAAATTCGCTTTGTCTTTTATTTTATACCGTAGCAACGACGCGAAAAAATTTTTTGAAATGTGCTGTATCACTCCCATTTTTAACATACGACTCGACCCACCCCCGCGGTCACCGATATAATTAATACATTTAATTACCACCCCGCGATCCTTACAACGCGTGATAAAAAGGAAGGATATCTTCTTCGCGTAATAAAATCTCGACTGCCATAAATTCAAATCACGGTTATTATAAATTATCCCCATATTTCCCAGCGAAATTACGCATCTCGTTAAATAACACAATGGAGACGTACCGCGAAATCTATAAACCCGCAGCTTAATTAACCCTTAATTGCCAGTCCTACCGAACCAGTCCGTTAATTTATTTAATTTATGTACATACATTTCGTACCACCCGTATCCCGTGGCGGACAAAACGCGCGGTCCACGAGAATTAACTACGCGAACGATGCTTGCTCCATTCCCAATTTTTATTTTTTTCCCCTTTCTCTTTTTCCTTACAGATGTAATTTTTTCCTTAGCCGGCCGGATATCGGTCGATCGCGCCCTGAACCACGTGGAACGCCGGACACGGAAGGAAGGTGATTCGGGATTAAATGCGGACGTGATCGATCGTACTTCGCGTTTTTTCTCTAACCCATCCCAATGAAACAAAGGTTTCCGTGAAAAAAGGGGAAAAAGAGGGAAAAGAAGAACACGGTCCACTCTTTCGATCCATTTTTCTCTTGCCCCGACCCACGATTCTCTGCCTGTCAAATTATTTCGGTGATTCCAAGGAGAAACACCCTATGCCACTTTCTCACTATTCTCACTTTCAGGAGGGGGTCGTTTAAAATTCCAAACGTCAAGTCTCCCCATCTTTTTGGAGTTACGAAATTTACTAACAAAATGAAGATTTGTGAAACTTTATAATAAGGAAGGAACATCATAGTATCGCTAAAAAGAGGTTGAGGGACCTTCAACTGAAGAAGTAGCTCAAAATTCTGTCATACAGGATCAAAATTAAGCAAGTTAAATCACATTTAAATTTAAAAACAATTTAACTAAACCACCCTGTATAAGACGACTGTTGTTCCGTCCCAAAAGCTGTGTTTTAGCATAATTCTTATCTTAATTTTCGATAATTCCAAAGACTGTTATTTTATATTACGACTGTAATTCCGAAGGTCAGACGTGCTTCGCCACCCTCTCAATGGATTAAGTAATATATCTAAATGCCAAAGTACAGAAAATTTACATCTATCAGACCCAACAGGTTGGACCCATGTATGATGGACGGACACCTACCTATAAATCGCGTCATTGACTACCAAAATGCAATTTTCTTGACAGTTCTCATTTCTCAACCAAAAGTCCTTTCAACACGTCCACGTGCAATCAAAAGACTCTAATTTTCCTTCACTAACATCTACTTTTAACCAGTCGAAATAAACTCGAGGAAACACCTAATAGGATACGACGAGACACGACAGGAAGCAAAAATCAGTATACATTTGACACCAGGCACCGAAGCATCTTATAAATATTGTAAAACTCGTGTTCCAGACGATACTCTGCTAATGTTTCACATTTAACTACTGTACAGTAGTTCATTTACAATAAACAACCAAGAACTAGTAAAAATAAATAGTTTGCCTATAATTACATTCGCGATCTGCAAAATATAAATTAATCACGCAATATTAAGTTGGTGCGTAATGCATTCTTGACAATCTATGAGAAATTTAATTGATTGAAAGCAACGATGGTAAAGGAAAGCAGTCTGACTCAGATCAATGATCCTCTAAATGCTGTCAATCCTGTTAATCCTGTCAAACCTACCTCGATAGGTCTCCTCTAATTAAACGATGACTATGACTACGACTATGACTATGACCACGTGGATCAGAAGAAGACACTGACGCCTCATTCCCAAAAACCAGCGCTCATCAAACTTTCACCACCTTTTGGCCTCCGGACGCCAAGCACGTTATGTACAATAAAAGCACACGTGTCGCCCTCTAGCACTCCCGGTTTCCCCAAACGCGAGGAAACCTGCCAAAGGATACACTGGAGTGTCAACGAGGACACCGGTGAAAAGTTCCCGAGGTGTGTCGTTCTCAGAGCTGCACGTTTTCCACGTTTTCCTCGGCGTTGCTTCGGCCAAGTCGCGCGCGACACGGTAAGCACGCGTTATTGCAGCTTGCTGGCGCAAGGAGCTGGCTATCGGTGCGCTAGCCTAACCGACATTGGCATAAATAACCTGCTCTAGTCCGCGATCGATTGTGGCAGCCGCAGTGGATGAAAGGGTTGGCTTATCATAATCGCGTAAGTCTGTTGACTGTCGAAGAATCAAGACAATTCTAGGAATTGTCTAGGAACAGCAGGGAATGAAGAAGATGAGAGAAAGCGTTTGATCTCAAGATGGAATATTCCAAATCGACTTGGAAATTGGTGTACTTGTTTATTACCAGGGTCCCATGGCACTCGTGTCACTTGGACTCCTGTCACTACGAGCATCAGTCCCTAGCAAAGGGCCATAAGACACGTCTAGGAGATAGTCACAGCGGTCCCAATTTGTTTAAACATTTCCTACCACCGAAAAATGCCAATACCAATGCATATTTCTAACAGACATACGCAACCAATACTCACACTTCCAATTGTAGCTACATAGGGTACTACATTAAGATCACGACTCATCCAAATTTATTAAAACGTTGACAGACATTGGCCAAGCGGACTAAATTCAAGTGTCGACTTCAATTTTCTTCGTTATACTTTATTAAAATCGGAAAATAAATAGGATTATAATCGATACGCGTCAATTTGCAATCATTATGGAACCCTAACCAGGTCTAGATCTCTTAAGATTCATTAAACCAGTAGCTTCAACCCCCAAAGTCATGTCAGCCGCTTACAATGGGCCTTACAACTCCGTGAAACTCTAATCAAGGGGATCCAATAGAAATAATAGAGAAGAAAATACTATTGCTGAAGATCGTGTACTTTGCTTCACGAGTTATGACAAAGTATAAACTTGGAAATTATTGGAATACCTGTTGGAACCTTCGAGAATCATTTGAGTGTATCAGCGAGATTAATTTTAAAATACTATATATTATAATTAAATTAAATATTCTCAAAATTCTCCAATTCTTGAATATCTGTCATGTCAATCGAAAATAAAAGAAAAAAAAACGCGGGAAATGTCGCGCAGTGTCGTATCAACTATAGACTATGGGTAACATCCTGAGGCAAGATGTCATCCATAACTTGGAACCTACGAGGATCATTTGAGTGTATCAAACAGCAAGACTAATTTTAAGCATTAGACTGTGTAGTGTCCCCGAATTTATTATTTAAGAAATTAATTTTTCGTCTGGAATTCTATCATCGGATATCTGTCACCATAATCGAAAAGAAAAGAAAAGAAAACGCGGGGAATGTCACGTAGTGTCATTGGAATTTGAAATCTGTCAATTTCTCGGGAATATCTTATCCATGGTATCATATGAACCATAGATTATAAGTTAGACAACACCATGATCTCATCCATAGCGTTATCAAGTGGCTTGACAACTCACTTATAGTTGGAAAGAAATTATTTAATAAATTTGTAAATTAATAATTGGAATTCGAGATCTGTCAATTTTTCGAGAATATCTTATCCATGGTGTCATATGAACCATAGATTATAAGTTATAAACAACACCATGGTCTGATCTATAACGTCATCGAGTGGTAAGACACCTCACCTATAATTCGAAAGAAATTATTTAATAAATTTGTAAGTTAATAATCGGAATTTTGGAATTTACCTGTACATCGTTGAGAATCGGCCAAAGTGCTGGATACTCGAAAGCATAGACGTAGGTATTCGTCGCTTTAGCATAAATCGGGCGTTCCATGAACCACGAAGGAGGCGAATGGAATTTTAAAGGAGACGTCGTCCCCCTGATGGCTCCTCCTCTCGTGCTCACTTTTAATTTCCAGGTAAATTATGGATATTACGGCTTCGCGCCTGTTTCGCGTGTTAGACACCTTGGTGAAGATGGAGCGACGAACACTGAGGGAAATATGGCGGTCTGAAAGAGAAATGGGCGTCGAGAGGTTTAGCAGGAACTTAGCCAGGGCTGTAATGCACGTGGACAATTTGTTTTATTTACGCAACTGAGATATTTTTACGGAAAAAGTAAAAAGGAATTTGCATTATCGGAAACACAATTTCGCATAACGTAATATAATTGTGGAACCTAACTACTCTGCTATACGGTGGTTACCTGTAGCTATTGCTCTCGCCACCTTTGATATATAATTATACAGAGAGGGCCATGTAACGTGGTTACTTCGTGTACCTTCAATTATTTATTCACTTTAGAAATAATAAACAATTATTTTGTCGTGAATGACAGGATGTGAAATAATAACGAGAAGATTATGATAACTGATCTTTGTTAAATTAACTGGTATTACTGAAGATAGAAAAAATCATATTTAAAATGAAAATGTACGAAGTGATCACGTTAAGTAGTCCACCCTGTATAATTATATTTCAAAGATGGTGAAATTAATAGCTATAGCACGGTAATTAGGTTCCACAATTATATTACGTTATGCGAAATTGTGTTTTCTAGAAGAAATACTACTACTAATAATAATAATAAATTATATAATTTATATATAATAATAATAAATTATATAATTTTTATATAATAATAATAAAAACTAGAATAATTGCATTCTTATGCTTCACAATCTCAAGAAATAGTTTATTTGATATTAATAATTTTTTCTAGTTTTTAGTATTATTAGTATTAATAATTTTGCATTTTTATAAAATGCTTTGTAAATATTTTTATATTATATTAATACATCCAGTTATTCTTTTTATTTTTATAACTAGAGTCGTGTCTTTTATTAATAATTTTTGTACAAGGGAAACCTGTTTGTATAAAATTCGTACGATCCTGACTCGAAATTGTACAATTAATTTTTAACCTAAGCTACGATACGAGTAAACAAATATTTTATTTAACGAAGAACTAAAGATGTATCAATTTGTATGTAAGTACCAAACACGATGGGGTTAATTATATAAAATTTTGTAACATAAGTCATAAACCGAAATTGTAGAACAAATTTATGCCTGAGAAATAAATTACACGAAAAATCGAGTACCCATCTTCCAATTTGACCATTGTCCAATTCGCTCGATCAAATCATATGCAATATTATCGTATCACGCTGTTATAGAAGTACAATTATTCGAAATCTTTTTGCTCGTCCTGCATGTGCATCTCGCAAAAAGTAAATTTTTGCTGCACATTTCCCGCGAATTCATTAATCACGTCGCATATCCTTCGTAACAAATTCCAAACTTCCGACCCGAAAATAGCTTTAACCTGTTTTTCCCTGGCTCTCCTCTGCGGCAAAAAATTCCAAAGAATTCAAACTCAAATTCAAATCAGCCGAGTGGAAGATATAAGAACGGAGAAAAAGGAGAACTCGGCGCGGAAATAAAGGAAAGCAGAATTTTAATTCCGATTCTACTTCTAATCGAAAGCCACAGTTTCGTTCAACGAAGATTGTTTCCAAGATTGTTTTCCGAATACTCGCCTTTCCGAAATGAAACTAAAAGGAAGAAATTGAACAGAGACGAAGTGGTTACGATCGAAGGATAAAAGCGAAATAAATAGGGATTTCGATCTATTTAAAACGTTTTATCGATCGCTTGATCACTAGTGAGAAACAGTGAAACTCGTTTTCATATCAAATAAACGAAAATATGAACAAAACGAAACTAGTGCTGTCACTGCAGCTAAGCTTGCCAAACGTCGATGTTCAGGGAACCGTTGCATGCGAGTCCAGCTTCTCCCCTTATGCACAGGGGTCAGAAAAAGGTATTCGAAAGCTGTCAGTTCTCGTTGAACGAAGTATAGTGTCTTCGTAGAGTTTTGAGGAGTTTACAAGGAACATACTGTAGTTTTGAGAGTTGGGAAGGACTCTAGCAAAGGAAACAGTATTAAGAGCGTTATCGGGTCCAGCTTAAGCGTCTAGGGTATCATCTGGAGTGCATGCGGATGGACGGATGACCAGGTGCAAGAATTGTACGGATGAGATATTTATGACCGGATCGAGTGCAAGCAATGAACGAAAGTCCAGGAATGTGTCCGAGTGTCTGAAGTACCTGGCTCACTGAGGACGTGACCGGATCGAGTGCAAGCAATGAACGAAAGTCCAGGAATGTGTCCGAGTGTCTGAAGTACCTGCCTCACTGAGGGCGAGGTCGCATGGGGAATGAGTGATCAACGAAGAGAGCTTGCGTATGAAAAGAGAGAGTGTTAGACTTTAAATAAGGGTGCAAGGGTGAGTGAGAAGTCAGCATTCAGTCAGTCAGTTCAAGTCAGTTCCAGTCCAGCTCTAAGTCAGTCCTTAATCAGCGAAAATTTAGCCGATGTACTCTCCAGCGTTGTAGAGACTATGAGACTCTATACGAGGAACGTACAAAAATTCACCAATTATTACTCTGCTTCCGTGGTACCTGTAAATATAATTAATTTTTCGAAATTGGTAGAAAATTTGACTCAAACCTAGCTCAACCCTCGTGGCCAATCAGACCCACGCTCCATCCAACCACCAGCTCACCTAACCACGAGAATTGAGGGAAACACAGTGTAATATTTTATTTTCGATAAATCTATTTATTGTTAAAAAGGAGTCGTTGTTTATTAGACACGCAGATCTCTGTCAGCATAGGATTTATCTAGCATTAATCCTACAATATGCTTTATCTGGGGTAAACAAGATGGGCTTGCTTTACACTATCACGATGCTCCTTCTCAATCAATGGCGGACAGATGAATGAAGAGAACGGATTAAAAATAAACGGATATGCAGGTAAATTATAGAACGAATCTTCGAGGAACGAATTAGTAACCTCGTGGAGAATATTTCTGATAATACGCGAGGTTCTTAATGATTTCTATGGAATTCGACCGATCGATCGGTAGTCGAGAATATTTTAATAGTTTAGGCTAAATCGACGGGCAATTTTACGATATGCGTGACGACGACTTAGATACAGGACACTGATTAAAAATGAAGAAATTTCGAGAAAACTTCGAGTAATAATGGTGACTGAAGTTCGTATGTGTGATATGTTTATCGGTAAGCCTTTGAAATACGAGTGCTCGTTAGTATTGGAACTATCGATGGGCTAAAACGAGTTGCCTCGAATTTTCTATCCTCGCAATTATTGGATTCTTTGGCGAAATTAATATTGATATTTTATTCGGACAGGAACGCAATTACAATTAAATTTTTAATTCCGATATACCATTTTAATTATCTATTATTCTATTATTTATTATTATCTAATTGTTATTACTATATTTAGATACTCATTACGGATCGGTGGTTCTAGTGATAAGACGGAGCAATTATAAGTTCAATATTAATTTCATGGTATAATTATTATTCACCTACTTTAAAAATGGCAAAACCGAAAAAGGAAAGAAGCGAAGAAATTTTGTCTGGTTTGGTACGTCTGTTATTGAGAGAATCAATTGCTGACTATTTTCCAAAATATTTTTGTTTCGAAGATAACTGGAATACGATTTTTCTACATTGTTTGCGTACTACTCCCGTTTGTATAATACCGAAGAATTATAAATAAAATATAACGATCGACACATATTTTTATTTGATAAACATTGGAAAAGCAAATCACGATTCGGATCCCGAACCTCGAATGGGTTAATATTCAAACAACGAACACGTGTGCTGCCTAATGTACACACTTGAACATGCACCCTCGACTTCGTACCCCTACGTAAGTATCATTTTTGGTGAAACGAAATGGAGTTGAGCTAAATTTATATTCCCTATTTTTATACGCCTACAAAATTTTTCCCACCGTGAAATCGGAACGAATATGGAAGAATTATGAGAAATATCGGAGATCGTATCCCTTATTGATTGAAATTTAATAAACGACTCATTTATTACAAATGGCGGTCGAATAGTGTCAACTATGATTGGATATACATTTACGTAAATGTATACATTGGTGAAGTGACGAATGAAAATGGCATTCGTTAATTATCTGATAATAAATCATAATTCTAGGTAATTGTTATAAAGGAGCACGTAATTGATCGACAGTTGGGAGTAAATATGAATATTCACGAGTTTCGAAATATTGCCATAATCACGGTTGCATGACAATATTCGCAAAAGACGTGATAAATCATATCTCTGGTCTCTTTTTAGTAAGATAATATTAAACATTGTAGAGTCTTTGAATTAATTTTATATTACCAAAATTATAGATTATTATTCGATTTTGGGTTTAGATACGTATTGAATATATTAAAAATAATAATTCTCATATTATATTGTTTAAAATGCTTGGCAGACTTATCCCCGACTATTCCTAGCAACAAATTTTTCTCTAAGCTCAATAATACTTATTTCCTCATTATTTCCTGCTCGAAAATAAACAATAATTTAAATTATCTTCTTTTCTTCTTATACTTCGCACCAAATCGATTTAGCACCCCTTTTAATTTTTAGAAAATTATTTGTAATTTAATAATTGCAATTTTAGACAAGTACATAAGTACTTTCTTCCCCGTTTTATATTTTTATTTTATTTTGAAATACTATAATTTTGATATATTATATATTCTCTTTTAATACTTACAATTAGAATTACCAAGAGTATCTGGTATATGAGATTTTAAATTATCAGGGAATTAATAGAGAAATTTTTAGATAATCAGATTCAGATAATCCACGATGGACTACGATAAATTTAGGATTATAAAAAAAATATGCTGGAAGGAAATCAACG